AGCAAGTTTTTAAGATAATCCCACTTCTCTTGGTCTTCATTCCACACGTCGTCCAGCACCAGTAGATATCTCCTCCCGTCCACAGCTTTTCGAAGGCTAGCCTGTAATTGTTCCATTTCTTTGTTGGAACAATCTATATCTGAAGRGTTGGCACATCTTATAATTTTTTGTGTTAGCAATTTCACATCAAATTCATCRGACACGCACACCCACATTCTTAGGTGAAAGTGATCTGCCACACTCTGGTCGTTGTAGRCCAATTGGGCAAGTGTGGTCTTCCCCAATCCCCCAATTCCAACTATGGGAATGATGGCCACATTCTGATCAGCTGGATAATGATGATGATGATGAACACCATCATCACCACCCAAGTTGGAGTCGGGGGGTCCCTTTAATAAAATCTCTACAATCTTCTTTTTATCTTCTTCTCGCCCGATAACAGTCGATTTACGTATGAAGGAGTGGGTTTCCTTCCTCTCTATGTTTGCAATTGGCCTGGTATCATGTAACCTCTCTCTAAAATGGAATCTGGACATATCTGATGCAATCACTTCAAGATTCTTTCTCATCTCTTTTATTCTATGACCCATCTTATGGCGGAATGCAAGAGGATTTGAACGAGAAAAGAAGTTTTTTACCTCCTTACTTCTGCTGCCATGGATCTCCACTTGCCTTCGCAAAGCTTCAGTTTCAAATTCATCTACCACGTCATCTGCATCATAAACAGCGTCCTTGAGCCTTCTCAGCCAATCTTTCACGGCATCGTTGTTGGCTTGCTGTTCCTCTGCATCCAGAAGCACAACTTTGATCGCTGATAGCTTGTTTTTGAGCTTTTCAACATCATTTCCGACATTTGATGCCAGACCAATCTCTTGAATAGCTTGGGAGGCCAAGYTCGCCACTATGTTTCCAACAAAGTCAAAAAGCACAGCTTCTGCCATATTTTGCCAAAGAGAAAACAGACTAAAGCAAGCGGTCACAACGTTCCACTCACTGATCAGAGCATACAACAAAAACACCTTACCAGGGGGGAGTGAGTTGGGTTTTTATTGTGGCGTGGCCTGAGTCTGATCTTATCCCTTGCTTTTATGTGTACCCAAATTTTTGGCTAACACGGAGAAGTACAAAGACACACGATGCAGAATTCTGAATTCCAGCCCTCCTATAAACCACATCCTGCCCGTGAATTTGGCATCAATTCACGGTCAGGATGCATTCCCCCGTACTTTGGTGCTAGAGAATTCTGATCTGGGCTGATTGATACTTCTCCCAAATTAATATGCCAATAATAACATCTTTCTGGGATGGTACAAGTCAAGAAGACACGGCAAATGATTCTCCAGTTGTGGACTTAATCATGGTTCATTCAACCAAACCCATGTGCAAGGGCAATAATGTAAAGAAGCACTTGGAATAGAATAATAAACTCAAAGACTTGGACCAAGTCAGCATTCACCTCCACCTCACCTTGGAGAGCTGGATGAGATGATGACGTTGCGACAGTTTCAGCTAAAAGATTAAGTGAGGTATTTAAATAGGTTTTATTTCTCTACATGCATACAAATACCATTGAGCCCCAGGCTTTCACAAAATTTTAGCTAGAAACAAATTATTATATTTGCATCAGCATAATTTCCAGATTTATATGTGGTAAAAATGTTGAATTACTTATGAGTACAATGATCAGATTGTGTGGACTTAGAAGTGTCGATGGATTGGGTTTCGGTTCGACCCCATCCCAATTAAAATCACTTTGAATGGATTAGAGAGACCTATAATACATTGGGTTGGACCTAACCTATTTGTAATTGATATATAGTAGAATACTGGATTGGATTGAACTAATATTATCTGGCCCATTAACATAAGATAAGAATACGGGTGTCAATGAATCAGGTAAGTCAATTTACACAGTTCGGATAATCCAGGCATTACATTGGACCGGTCCAAATGGTCCAATGTATTTATTGAATTAGATTGAACCCCGATCCATGTGTAATGGATTCATACTAGACCGGATTGGGTTGGACCTGTTGACAGCCCTACGTAAAGAAAAAACGGAAAAAGACGGCCTCGAAACATTGTTGCCGTGAAGAGCAAGAAGGTATTGATTTTGTCTTATTTTCGCCTTTTTTTTCATGGTTAGTTGCACAAAAATCTGCTTCATTCCTATAACCTCAGAAGCTTCTCCAGAATTCTAATCATCTGTTGAATACAACAATGGGGCCCGAGATTTAATCCTGTCAAGGATGCCTATGGTCAAGCTAGATTCTGCAACATTAGTTAAAAGACAAAGAAGTCATCGGCACGCCTTTATCAGTAGACAACTAAATATATGTTTGAGATATCATATGCTTTAGTTTTCTCTAATTTCTTCAGCCAAGATTTGTAGGAAGCAGATAATCTTCAATATTCTTCAACTTCATATCCATATAAACTTCTGCGACTCATTGACACCTTTCAGCCTATTTGTAGCTAGGCTAGGCACCGTAGATATTGCTGAAGTATATTACTTCATTCATCCGGTACTCATTTTTGGCAGGATGTAAAGCAGTTTACATGTTGCCCAAAAGAAATAACAAAGTGAAAACCATAATAGAATTGTGGTAAGTAGAGGTGTCAATTGGACCAGATTTAGTCCAATCCGATTCAGTCAATGAATTTAATATGAATTTATTATAGATAAACTAGGTCAAATTCAATCCAATGGATACTGTAGATGATCTTGGACCAGTCCCAATACGAGTTTTTAGTAAAAATCAAAACGATTGACTAGGCCGAGATTTAACTACAGTAAATAAACCATATATTTGTACTTGATGTAGTAAACATTAAAAATTAGGAAAAACAAAGTCTAAGGCACATATTACAATGTTACGATTGTTTATTATTGTTTCATATACGTAAACTAGTGTCATTAGTGCCATTAGACACTACATAGCAAATGCCCAATTTTTCAGAACTTATTTTCGAAGGTTAAAATCAATTTAAACAATTAAAATTAAATCAGCCCATTCAAATATGATTTTGGTTTAGTAGACTCAAAACAATTATATAGTGCATAGGCAACGATTTTACCACACTTATATCAAAAATGGATTCATGCAAAAATACAACAGTAATGGAACCCATTAATGCAGACCGGACTAAGTTATAAAGAAAAGGGCCACTATAACACCAGTGAGGTCAAGCCTTTTAAACCCAAATACATTCCTAAGTTGAGGCCCAGGAATGGGTCTGGGCCTTCCCGTCTTGTTATATGTAATATATTTCAAGGATAGGGTTATAGGGACATATTATAGTTGGGGAACAAATAAGAGGGACCAATATTTTTGATACCTAGATATCCAAAAGATGACTTGTCATAGACCCCCAGTTGGGTTACAACTACTAGTCATAAGTAAAAGGCCTTTTAACTGTGGTCATAATAGATTTCTACAAAAAAAGAAATGGAGAAGTTTAGACAGGCTTAATGCAGATTTTTTACTTTCACTAGACCTATAAATATTCAAAATGTCAAAATCCCCCACCCTACACACCAGTGCCCGCCTATGAATTGGCATTAATTCCGAGCTGACACCTACCCAAACTGTATTTTGGATTTAAAAATTCTGACCCTGGGCTGAACAGTCATTCTCTGAAAAAGAGAATGATGAATGAAATTAAAGCAAGTCCAAATCTGCTATATATGGGCCCAYTAGCATTCACTTGGAGAGCTTGCCTTTCTACAAGTTTGAATTTACACCAAATCCCAAGGTTGTGTCTGGCTTCTCAAACACAATGCCTAAATGAACCAAGAATTAACTTTAGGCAAAATGGTGCATTCTATGGAAAATGTTGTAAGATAACATGAAGGTGAATGAATTACGATAAAGAAAAATGTGACAGTGATATCTTTAATGTTGTTAAAGACTTTAATGATAAGTACATATTGTGTAATATGAACTATTGAAAAATAATTTGGCTATGTGATGTCTTTAATATGATTGGTTGGAAATTTGATTTAATATACAACAAATATTGCAATTTAATTAGAATATTAGCTCTAACATTTTAGCTGTTATCCCTTAGAAAAAGAGCAATCTTGAAGTAAAAGACTACAAACCAATTAGTCTTTTAGAGGGTGCCTATGGTTTTTGATTTGCTCGATTTGCTCCTGTCATTGCTGGAAAGATGAGTTGGGTGAGATCGCTTAAGATATTTCTGCAAGGGAGAGGGTGTTAGAGTGCCCAGGTTGTGGACCCAGGCGTGAGGGCCCAATCGTCAAGTTAGTGCCAAGTCAGGAGATCTAGTTGAAAGTAGAAAGCAAAGAGCAGAGTAAGAGTTTAATGGCTAATAGAGAGTGTACCATTTGAGGGTGAGGGGCTGCCCTTAAACAAGCTCTGGGGAGCGATCAGAACGTCTCCAAGATTCTTGGAGTTAACGGTCCTCAACCCCCGAATCTTAGGGACACTCGAGGATGGTCACTGAGTCGACCACTTTCCTTTTTCCAAAGAAATAGGGGAGACTTTTGTAACTGCTGCTAAATGAGTGGCGTGCCCCCAAGCATATCAAAGGTATTAAATGGTCTGCTAGGTTCAAAATGAGCGAGTGATGTAGGTCAGCTATTATAAGATTGAGGAACTCGTTTTATGCTTATGTTGTATAAACGCTCTAAGGTGACAATTGACCTTGTAGCTCAGTCTTCACCGAGCTGTCTCCAATTGAGCTCAAGTACTCCAATGTGACATGAATCCATCCTATTGGCGAGCAAGTTCTAACCTGATGCTACTTAAAGTCCTAAGGTGATCTAAGGTTGCACTGGATGCCAACGTCGCGATGGATGACTAGTGAGCCACTTTTATCCATTATTAGTTTTAGTAGAGAGAATTAAAGAGTAATTGGTGATGAAAACTTTGAAAACCAATATTCTTTCATTAGAAATATACAAGTTATTGATAGCATCCTAATGGTAAACAAATGTGTAGACCAAGTCTGATAATACAACTTTATTTAGAAAAGGCGTATGGTAGAGAATAGACTATTACTACTTATGCAACATTCTAAAGTGTGTTTTGCACAATAAGGGAGGAAAAGAACAAGCGCGCTAGAAAAACTAGGGGGGGAGTCCATTGATTGCGTTCAAATGCATGGGGGAGAGATGTTGTCCATCCAATTCCTAGCTAATATTATCTAAGTAATACGTAATAAGTTGGTTTGCTTCTGTGTAGATGTTTTTGACATGTATGTTGTTATGTTCTTCCTACTGTAGGTACATAGTGGTCACTAAGACCATCAGAGTACAGAAGGTGTCAAACCAACACTATACGACACCTATGATGAATCTATAACCCATCACACGTTTACGATAAGTTCATCACAGATCCGTAATGGTGATGAATTCATATTCGAAATGGGTCACAATGAACCTCAGCTAGTGCAAATCCACAATAAACCTTAGACATACATAAACTTGCAATAAAGCTTAGATACGCATGAATCTGTGGTGATCTATAAAGATGTGCACAAATTCGCAATGAACTTCGGAAACATGCGGAGTTGTCATGAACTTGAGACAATTACAGAATCGTGGAATCATAGTAGATCAAGAATAAATGTCGGTTACACATGTATTTTTACATTATGCATGTAAGTTTAATGAAAGTACATCTGCCAAACGATGGCGTCACCCATGCTACATCAGTATAATAGGGTTGTATACGGAGAGAATCCGAAGGGATAGGATTCTCTAATAATGATCCGTTAATATTCAAACAAAAGGAAATATCTCTTTTCCAAACAGAAAAGATCCTCTTTCCTAACAGGAAAGAGTTGCTTCCTTGATAACCTTAACTTTCTCTCTATAAAAGGAGGAGAGACTTCTTCCCCAAGGGATAACATAATACAATCTTGACCTAGGATTTCTAAGAGAGAAGCAACTCTCTTCTCTCCTCTCTTTCCC